AGTTTTCTATTTTATATTAGAGTTGTTGGAGCGGAATTGTTGTTTGTTACTTTTAGAAGTTTTAACCTTTGTAGCATCAGTGAGGTGTTGTTGTGATAGAGGTTGTTGTTGTTGTAATTGAGTATTAGAATTTGTAATAATAAAATCTGTATAGGATATAGTTAGGGTGGAGAGTTCAAGTTTTTTGATCAGATATTGATTTGCTTGATCGATATATGATTTTTTTAGATTTCTTTTAAAAGTTGTAATAGTTAGTTTAGAGATATGGGTAAGGTTATAGTAAGCGATAACTCTGGCCAAGGTTTGTGTATCTGTAGATTTAGAAGAAATTTTGTTGAATACTTCTTTAAGATTAAGGTCTGTAATTTGGTCGTTAGTTGCAACAATTTTTAAGTATGCTTGAAGATAGTTGTAAAAAAAAAAATGATATTCGTTTAGAGCTAGTTTGGATATTTGTTTCAGAAAGTTTTAACTTATTAAGCTTAAAAAAATTTGGGTTAAGTATAATAAATTTTTGTTTTGCTTGTTTACAAAGTTGTAAAAATCTTTGAAAGGAAAGGAGGTAGAGAAGGTAGTGGTATGAAGTTGATTAGATAGAAAGATAGAATTATCTAAAGTTGGATAAATAAGTTTAAGGCAAGTGAGGTTTGAAAGAAATATTTAAAAAAGTGGGTAGTTAAAAACTCACAAATACTATATTTTTTATTTATTATTCTTAAATTTTTAACAAAAAGTAAAAGGTTTAATATATTTTATTAAAGATTATTATTGTTTATTACTTTATATTAAACAAGAACAAATAAGTATTATATAATATAATAAATTAAAAAGTAATATATATAAACAAATATAATATATAGTTAGTTGTTAGTATATATAAATTTATAGCAATTTTTTTTGTATATCAGTTCATATAATCTTGCATACATCAATTCAGCTCAGCCAATAAAATTGCAAGAAATTTTAGATATTACATTAACTTAAGTTTGTATAATATCATGTACATCAATTCGACTCAGCCAATAAACTTGCAAGAAATTTATACTATATTATATTAATTTGTTAATATATACGCATGTACGTACATACATGATCAAATTTTGCTTTAATCAATTTTTAATAAACCTTTTTTCTGCACCCTGTAAACATATTAGACCAAGCCTTTTCATGTCTTAATTCAAGTTTTACTATTATTAGAGTTCAGTTAGATCCCTATTTTGACACCTATCTATTCCAGTATATTTTTTATTTTTTCAACATATGTATAGGAAAGAAAAGAAAATACCAAATTTTGGCATATTAAATGATTAAAGATTTACTTATCAAACTAGATGTGAGAAGTATTTTTGGAACAATTTGTATCATATAGTATTTCAGCTTTATTGTAATATACAAATACATATATATTAAAAAAGTAAAAATAAATGAGTTCAAAGACAAGTATAAATCAGAATAAAAATTACATAAACAATAAAGATATGGATTGAGTAACTGTGGTAGCTACTATAAGATCTTAAATTCAAAGTTATAAGTTTATACTAATGCAAGACCTAACTAATTAAGAAATTATACTTTGTATATACTTACCCTATGTATAGTTAATATGTCTTTACTGTAATAAAAACTAAAGAGAAACAATTATTGTATATAATTGTATTTATATCTTTCAAGTTTTACCCTCTATTACATATTTTAATTCACTTACTATATCTTAAAAGATATAAGTTATGATTATATGATCAAAGTATTTAAACTAATGCACTTACTATATCTCAATAAGCATGTGTTATACAAACCTAAAAAGCAAAAGTATATAGATAAAAAGCAAATATATGAAAGCAAAAAATGCAAAGATATAAAAGCAAACAGTAAATTAAAGTAAAAATAACAAATTATAAAAAAAGCGTAAGCTATTCATCAGAAAAGCCATAATGATGACAAACTGGTATATACTGTGGATTTAGAGGTGAGAGCTAGGCATTCTTATTTGGTTTGAGCTGAACTAATACAATATGATTTTGTCTCTGCCATTGCAAAATAATAGGCTTTTTGTGACGACCAGGCTTTTGATTGTAGGGCAAAAAAAAAAACTTGCTTTAGGATTTGCACCAAACACTACGATTGGTACATTGAATGTATCTGACACTAGTTGTGCACATTCTGAAGAATAGAACCAAAATTCCCAGGAGTATATTGGTTCTATACATGTTACAACAGCCCTAAGTTAATCTATATTATATCCAAGTTTATTGTCGTATAATTCTTTTTGCTTAGTTAACTGATCTTTCATGATAACTTTAATGTCTTGCCACCTTTTCTTATTTTTAAATAAGGCCACAGCTAATGACCTAAATCCACAATGACTATCTGAAATTAGATTATACACTTGTAATATCATATCTTGAGAGATGGAAGAATTAGGATACGTGCTAAGAGAATATAATGCTACTATATCACTTTTTTGTTTAATAGAAACTTTTTTTGAAGTTTTCTTGTCTTCATCCTTGCTATGCATATGTTTGTTATTCTGTTGTCGACCATGTCCACGTTTAACTATCAGTATCTTGATATTATCATGATTTAAATTATCAATACTAATCGTCTTAAATATACTTTTATATATAAAATTTGAATTACTTGGTAGTAACTCTGGTACTTTTCTATATTCAATAATATGATTAGAAACTTGCTGCATTAGATCTAAAAAGTCATTGTAATGAACCTTTGGAATCTGCTTAAAAATTTGTATAACATTTGAATAGTTAGCATGTTCAGTTTCTTCACAATTTTTTATATACCAATGCTGATGAATTTCACTCAAAAGAACGGAAGTATGTAAAAATAATAAATAAACTAAAATAATGTATCAGCAAGGAGTTCTAGTACATTGAGGATATAGACACATGCAGGTACTAGAAGCTCCAATATGTACAACATGCATTGTGTTGATTTTGTCATCAATTTGCATTATATTATATATGCCATTGTTACTTTCTAAGACCTCATAGATACCAGACTTTACAATATCACCTTGCAGCTTTATAAATATTTCAAATGCTAATTGTGAACAAACTAATCTTAGGTTTTCCAAACCCGAATCTTCACTGTTATTTACATGCTTATTCTGATATAAAAATGTTTCGTAAGCAATCTTTTGAGACTTTCTTGTAATTGTCACCAAAGAGTTATAAGTAATCTGTTACAGTATCATAACCAAAATAAAATTTAGATAATTTGAATAAAATGACAAATATCAGACTTAATACTAACTTATCAACTGAAGTAACCCAATTTTTAGCGCCCTTGAGTTTGCTATGTAAACTTTCTACTCGTTGACTTGATTTGATATCGAGATTTATATTGTATTTTGTATATAATGCGAACCAGCTATTTTTATAGGATATCCAAGTTTTGTACATATAAGTCTTTGCCTCTGAAAATTGTTTCCATAATGCTGCAATCTCTTGATCAATTTGATCATTTTCTAGATTATTATCATACATGAGTTTTTGAATGATTTTAATGAACTCTTCAATATCAACAAGTTTTTTAAACTTGCTTCTAATATTCTTGAAGATATACCAAGTACATAACTGATACTGTGTATTAAAGAATTCTTTAGAAATTGTTTTCATGAGTGCTAATTCATGGTCAGTTATTATTGTTGCCACTTCTACATTACCTAATAAATACAAAAAAAAGATAATAAAATAAAAAAAAATAAATAAATAAAAAATAAAAATAGAGAAGACAAAAAAACTCTTTCCATCAATCACTTACACAAAACTTAACTAAAAATTTGCCAGTCAAAAATCTTTAATAACACATTAATTT